CCACACTGCGTTATAGAAGTGCGAGCTCCTCTTTTTGGAGAATAGAGCGCGTCAAAAGATTTCCCGCTTCTTTCTAATATTTGGTGTTCTTTTTGATTTCAGCCTACAACATTGCCAGAAATTTGAAGTGCTACACTGACTACACAACAGAGATAGACTGCCAATGGGTGGAAAATGCAAAGGCAAGAGAATATATTCCAATGGAATTACATTACAGGAAGGAGACAGAGTCCATGAGAAAGTACCCGTGAGTATTCCAAGATTCTTTTATACAAGTGTTATGATTCCTGGACAGGAAAGAAATCTTGCTTGATAGATCATTTTGTTTTTATTTTTGTTAACGTGGTAACTGAATCAGTCACTGAAACATAATCACAGGCCTCTCCAGTATATCTTTAACAATATAACAGAAGTTATTGTACTCTAGACAAAACCAAACAGAAAACAAATTGACCTACTACATGTAGAAGACAGTTTAGATAAATTTTTAATAGCACAGCAATGCAAAGTTTTCAATGCACTTCCCAATACTATTCATTTCCTGAAATTCAGGCCCAGAGAAATTAAGCCTCTACATAAGATCTTTAAGAGTCACATGACAACAGATTACAGTCCAACAGGTTTATTTGAAACCATAAGCTTTCAGGGCGCTGCTCCTTTGTCAGGTGATCTGTTGGACTATAACCTGGTGTTGTGTGATTTCTGACTTTGCTCACCCCTTCCAACACCGGCATCTCCATGTAATAAGATCTTTAGGTTCTACTTTTATTGGTGTTCCCCAATCTCTTCCCTGTGAACTGTGGAGTCTTCTTACACGAATATCCAGAAAACCGAGAGCTTAGATTTTCTCAGCATCTAATAACCTGCCAATTTCTAACTAACCTCTTCAGGTTCAGGAACTGTACAAACTAAATGTTTCTATTGAGGTAATTATATTTTCTCTGAACTGTCCTGCCCTCTTGTAAGGAGAGAAAACTGATTTCATTTTATTTGATTTGATCTGATTTATTATTGTCCTGGCTCCATATAGGTCTCCTCTCAACTGCTCCAAAATCTTTCAATTTCTGGATTTTTTTTAAACTTAAGTCAATTTTTGATTATTCTGAACTGAACTCAAGCTAATGGCCTTATAAGTTGTAAATGCCATGAAATAAGTATCTTGCTCCATTTACACTCCTGGGATTTGCAATTTCCTCCTCTGATACATACTGGGTTAGGTTACTGTTCTAAAAGTATTGTCTAACAATGTTTCTCTTTAAAGAAAAACTTCACAAAAGTAATCTACACCCAAACGCCACTATTTTGAAATCTAAACTCTACAGGTTATATATGCACATATTTATAAAATACACCACCAGGCAAGTTAAATCAAGATTCATTTTTGTTTTCTCCTAAAGTTATTGCCACCCACTGATACATTATTCCCATTATGCCATCTTCACCTCTGGGTCAGAAGGTTCAATACCCATTTTGGAGGCATGAACATGGAAATCTAGGCTGGTATTCTAAGTGCGAAGCATTTTAGGGCATCCTGTGAAAGGTGCAATAAAAATGCACGTTCACTGTTGCAGGCAAAAGCACAATACAGACAATCGACAATGGTTTCACGGTCTTTACTAGAATTCCAACTTTATCGATTTCAAATTCCACCATCTGCTATGGCCAGGTTTGGAACTTCTGATGATGAGGATAATAGATGCCTAAAAGCAAGATTTTTCATTTCCTTTGCTTTCAAAAAAAACCAGAGGAGAAAGACAAAGGGAAGGAATTAGAAGTAATGAAGATGCCAGAGGAAGCCTGGAGGAGGTGATGGCCTTGTGGTATTATCACTAGACAGTTAATCCAGAGACCCAGATGATGTTCTGAGGACAAATGTTTGAATCTTGCCGTGGATGGTGGAATTTGAAATCAATCAAACTGGAATTCTACTAATGACCATTGTCGGGGATGGGGAGCTAAACAACTGACTCACTAATGAAGGAACGGCAATCCTTACCCGGTCTGGCCCAAATGTAACTCCAGACCCACAGCTGTGCGATTGTTCCTTCACTAGCTTATGGACAATAATTGGTTGAGCCAGCAATGACTCCACATCCTGGGAATGAATGTGAAAATTAAGGGGGCACTGCATCACAACGCAGGCTGTGATCTGGAAAATCAGCTTCCGATTTGAGGCAGCTATATTAAAGGGGGAGAAAAGAAATGTCTTTTTGTGTAATAGAGATAACATGGTGTAGAGCTGGATGAACACAGCAGGCCAAGCAGCATCAGAGG